TGTTGATAATTCTAATAATAAATCAGCATATTAGAATGATTTTGTGGAAAATGTGTTTTTTTAACTTTAAACCGCATAAACACATTTCATTACACCAAATACACAAAATAATGTTCTTTTTAGCAGCATCATATGACCCCTTTAAAAAACAGCATTTATTTGAAATATAAATCTTTTGAATCATCATAAATGTTATTAATAACAGAGTCCCTTCAGATCAATTTAATGCATCCTTGCGGAATAAAAGTATTTTTCAAAAAAAATAAAAAATCTTACTGACCCCAAACGTTTGAATGGTAGTGTAAATGCATAAATCAACTAGTCAAATTACATGCCAGTCAAAATGGGACTACATTGTGATTACACCCTTTCTGTAAAAATGCATTGCAATTAATAATTGCATTTTTTCTAACATAAAATCTCTCTCACTTCTATCGCTCATGCCAATGTTTTCCCTTCTAGGTCTATAATACCTGGAAAAAGCCATTCCCACTCAGCAGTGACTTGGCTGGCACAAGACCTTATACAATGTCATGAGACCAATAACTCTGTATCATATGACGATATAATGACAGTGGTGATTGGCTGATTGCACCCCAGGAACCCACAGTCCCAAATCCTTCACTAACAGTATAATATATATTATACTGTCTATATAAAATTATTTATAAAAAAAAGCCCTCAAAATTATTCAACAGAGGTGGTTCATGTATGAAATTATGCGAAGATTCAGCATGACTATCTGGCCCCAGACAAAATAAATATATATAAACTCAAATGCCCTATTCAACTTACTAGCAAAACAAAATGAATATTCACATCTAAACGCTAGCCAAATTAAGTCATAACTCAAATTCAGATGTTGCTAGAGGGAGGTTGGCAAACCCGTCAAATAACGCCCTTCAAGCTATGCAGGACACGAGCAACATTAATTTACCATATTTAACATTTATGAAATTAATTACTCTACTCTGTCAAACCAGCACGCAGCAGTCATTAGAACGAGGCAATGCTAATAAGTCATTACTTGTTTGTTTATCGGTAACGCAGTGTTCAAAACACATTTTCCTCTTGCTTTCTGTACAGGGTTGAATGGCGGGTAATTAAGGGCATATGTCACTGCACACAGCTAGATCTTATAGAGTCCAGTATTCACTGCCATGCCCTTACTGACCAATACATCCTGCCTAGCTGCCAATAGCAATGATGTCAGCAGCACTTTCCCACTGACGGCACAGTAGTTGATCCTCACGGTTACACAGACACTTTATCACAGTGACAGAACTCAAAGCTTTCTCTTTTGTGATCTGCAAAACGGCACAGACCATTAGCTCTCAGTGAAAGTAAACCTCTGACCTTACGTAATGCTGCACACTGACAACATACAACTGCACTGCAGTCAATAAACACTATGTAATATATTATAATAAAAGAGATTTGCTTGGTTTCTGAAAGGATTAGAATTCAATTCAGATTTGTTATATGACTTTTTAAGGTACAATAATTTTTAGTAACCTTTCAAGTCTTGAAGTGATTAAAAAAAAAATCCTAAGGACTGTAATAGTACAAAATTATTGATAATTGCTAATGTTATTGCATGAATGAACGCTCTTGGTTTTAAATAAACCTAATTTAATAAATAAAATTTGGACTTCACTCACTGCTTAAAAGCACTTTTGGTGAGTCATTGCATCCAAAATCGCATACAGCATGAGCTGCATTTGATGAAGAGCTACTTTTTGAATTAAAAGCCAGGGTCAGTAAGATTTTTAAAAAGAGAAATTAATACTTTTATTCAGCAAGAATGCATTAAATTAATCAAGAGTGATAGTAAACAAGTTTTACATTAAAATGTTGTTCTTTTGAATTTTCTATTCATCAAAAAAATCCTGTCTTATCATGGTTTCCATACAAATTTTAAGCAGCACAACTGTTTTCAACATTGATAGTTTTCTTGAGCATTAAATGAGCATATTAGAATGATTTCTGAAGGATCATGTGACACTGAAAACTGGAGTAATGGCTGCTGAAAATTCAGGAATAAATTACGTTTTAAAATAATTAAAATAGTTAAATAGTTATCTGAAATTGTAATGATGGTTCACAATTATAACATTCATTTGATTAACATTTTTACCAGATTTGTTTATCAAATAAATGCAGCCTTGCATCTTACTGACCACAAACTTCACCAGTACCACTACTTGAACAGTAGTGTACATAGTATGGAAGTAGTATTCAGACGAGAGACTGTTACCAGGGTTTTAAAACAAAATAATAAATAAATCATTTAAATTATCATTTTTGATGGTTTTTTGAACAGACAAAACTCAATAAGTATCTCAGACATCTGATACATATGGCATTATAACTACTACTGGGAGACCATCTAAAAACAATCAACGTATATATTTATTTTTATATATTTATATATTTAATGCAATAAGCAATTTTGAGAAAGTACTACTCACTGGATTGGCAAAAAAACACCAGGTTAATCCTTTTAAGACACTCAAAGTTTAATTTGAGGCCTTTTGTAGCAGGTAAACTACAAGACGATGTTGCATAGTGTTTTTGCTTTTTCCACAATGACTAATCTATTTATTTCAGAAATATCCACCTCTAAACTGCATGCAAAAACAAAAACTATGGTGCGTCTCATGAACATGTCGGTCAAAAAAAAGGCCAGGAAAAATGCCAAGTGGACTGGACCAGTCAAAAATGTGTTTGCACAAGACTGATCAAGAAGTATTGCCACCTTGTGGATGGACCACATAAAAATACCATATATCAAATGAGTTTAAACATCACACATCCATTGTCCACATTGTAAAGGTAGACCATTTTTATCACCTTGTATAGATATTATCTCATCATCCAAATTTGAGTGTCTCTCACCATCTGAGAGACCTAATTGCCTATTTTTCAGCAATTCAAAAAGTATTGTGTCGTGTCTGGAAAGAGCAACACACAAAGGGACATCTATAAGCCCTTTTCGGCTTTATTTGTGAAAACACAAATTTAAAAATGGCACAGTGATAACGGTTGAAGAATCAGAGAGCAATTTATGGAAATTCCCCCAGATCACTTCTAGAAGAAAGAACTTATGCAAATGAAATCAGACAGGAGAAATAAGCAAGTAAAGAGAGGCAAAGGTGTTGCGACGGAGGTATCTGGGTGTATATTTTTAGAGTGTAAGTACATGATGAGACCTGAAGCTTGCTGATCAGCAGGGGAGCTTCTGCTTTTGAGCAGGAGATAACTCAGACGTGCTGCTCTATTCATCTTCTCTGCCAGGAAGACATTCTCCCAGACATTAAAGCTTCGCCGCAATCTTTCTGTTTCCCTCTTTTCCTTCTCTCCATTTCTGTTCCTTCTCTGTCTTCTTTTCGCTCTCATACATACACAAAAAGAGCGCACCGCACATTAAATTTACAGTTCTTACTACATCCTAATCTGCCTCCCATCACAATTCCATATTCACACATCCCACCTGAACCACAACTGTAATGAGAAAGATGTGAGTGCATTTCCCCCTAATTTGAACTGCAATCCACATACATCCAAAGTGTCATCAGTCACGGTCTACTGTGTACTCCAAGAAAGAAAATATTTCAACCAAACTGTGGGGTTCAAATGCAAAGGCTGCAATGCAATTCAATGGCTCTCAGTTATTGTTTTGTGTGTTTGTTTTTTTTTAGTAAGTGTTAAAAAAAACTTTTGCAAAACCAGAAAAAAAGAACTTTTTGTTTAAAAAAATACACAAAAGAACATCTTCATTTACATAAGCATATTCTCTAAGGAAAGGAAAGGAAAGGAAAGGAAAGGAAGTGTGGTCACTATGTAAGCAAGCAAGCATTTAAGGTTTAAAAAAAAAAAAAAAGTTAAGGTAAGGCACCACAGGGTAAAACCAAATGCATAAACATAAATCTAAACCATAAAAATCACAAGCAGCTCAGTCTGACATTATAGCATGTTGTCAGACTGATACTGTGAATATATGTTTTATATATACACACTTCAACAGAAGAAAAAAAAGATGTAGATAATCTAGTGAACCTTAGTTAAATTGACTCCACTCTATTGCATTCAAAGAAACTCAAAACCATAGATAACACAGAAAAATTAAGGCTGTTTTCAGAACATATTTGTTATATTCATTGCTAAATTGAAACATAAATAGTTTCTCTATTTTGTTAGTGTGGCTGAAACGAAATCTCAGACATTCTTACACCAGGAATCTCTCACTGCAGGAGAGCTAAATGAATTTCCCCAGTGGCGACTGAGCTCCTGTAAGATTTCACTCCTGTCTTTATTGCATTTACTCCCGCCTCAGCTATCTGAAGCTTTATTAGTTTGTTTCAGTCAGGCTGCACTTCTCAATTTGATATTTAAAAAAACGTCCATCGCAGATAATTACTGTTAGAATGACCGCAACCTCAACAAATCATATAAATTTTCACATGTCCGGAGGGAAATGGACCTCTGATTGATCAGATGCTCAGGAAATTGAGTCTAAATAAATAATGAAGCATAGAATCATTTTGGACTGTAAGGTAAATACAATGTTCTCTCAAGAGTGCTTTAAATAAAAAGAAATCTTATAGTCTCAGATGTATTCTATATATAGGCTAACGGTCAGTTCGCTAGATTTATGCTGCGGAAGTTGAGTGGTACGCTACTGTCACAGCGTGACTCAGATGGACACAACAATGAAGCAAATAATAATGACAACACAACTACAGTAGCCAAAAATATCAGCCAACAACACAATATCACAAAAGATCTAGCCAACAACACAACAAGACCAAAAGAACATTCAAAACTGCTGCATTAAAATCATGTTTGATCAATAATCTTAAGTTCTCTAGGACAAACTCATTTAGCTTTAATGCTAGTATAGCATCAAAAATTGCTACCATTTTGCGATGCTCACATTATAATGTGTAACATCCCAAAAATCTTACTGTACTTTGTAAACAAAAACATGGCAAACTTACCTTCATCTCCCATTTTGATTTTCCCAGGGTACATGTGTACAACAAGAAATGCTGTTGTGTTGTGGCCTGATACTTTTGTGTTGTAAACTGTTGCTTACATTGCAAATATCATTATCAATGATGCCTCAAATATCTGGAGAAAGCAGTACAAAGGCCTCGGTGATTTGTAAAGTGCCATCTTTGCTCATGGGTGCACACTTTTTCAACCAATCACCTGCTTCAAATGTCATGTGACTTAGGCCTACTCTGGAGCCACATGACATTTCGATAGGGTTGGGTAATTGGGCTGTGATGTCAAATGCAGCAGACAGCGGGAAATATAAATCAAATTTGACAGCGGGAAATATAAATCAAATTTAACATGTCAGCGAAGAACAATGCCATTTGTTAGAAGCAATTGTGTAGATACAGCTTCTAACTATGCTAACTAGCTAAACTTTAACCCCTGGTTATGCCTAGCACAGTAGCTTTTTAATGGTTCATCAAATCTTTTATATTTTCTTAGCCCACACGCTAACTCCCTGCTGATATCTTCCATGTACTAATGTTCAGTGAGTAATGTTTTCAGTAAATGCACAATGGGGCAATTTGTGATTGATTAGTAAATTTTTCTCAACAATGATCTTTACATTAGTAGCCTACTGTTACATTTTTGTTCTTGCTAAGTGACTGTTGTTTCTGAGAGGCCTGTGGACTGATGAGTTGACATGGTTTAAATGAAGTGGCCCAATATCTTCTGGCATTCTCAAAATAACATGCTCTAAAATCAAAACCTAATGTGTCTTACTAATAAAAGGCTGCATGTGATTTTAAATTATGCTGCAAGTTTTCTATGTTAATAGGAACATTACACACTGACCTCAATAAGAGGGTAATTTTAGAGGAATGAATTAAAACAGCACTTTAATGAAAAATTAATGTGTAATGAAGCTTGGCGAGTCTATCATGCCAGCAGTCCTAAAGCACGGAGTGAGCGGTTCTGACATCCATCATCCACTCTGCAATTTAACACGTAACCTTTCCAGTTCACGCCACATCAAAACTCTCGCTTTGACATGATTACATTTGCGGATATGATTTTGTGTCAGTAAATGGGATTGAAGATGGGAGGGAGTGTTTTTAAATGGCTCGTGGGTAAAATGTTATGAAGCGAGTGACGCATGATATTTCACTTTTTTCAGTTTATATGTCATCAGTGTGCAGTAGTCAAAAACTATATACTTTTTAAAATAAATAATGTAAAAATTGTATATATATTGGTCACATATATAAAATACATGCAATTAAATATGAATATTAATTGAATATTAATACAAATTAATATTAATAATAATTAAATTTTATATATTCAATATATAATTTTATAACATGTAAAAATAATATTATAACATTTAATAATAACTTCATGAATAACAATATTTAAATTTAAACAATTATTTTATAATATTTCACTTTAGCTCCCTGTAAGCATGTCTTCACTGTGAATTTGATTAAATAAAAAGTACTGTGCTTAATTTTACATTCAATTGTGAAAGGAGCCATGGGGTTTGCCCAGCGCTCGAGGTTAGACTAAAACCAGGCACCTCGCAGGATGTGAAAAGCCAAGGAGAGGTCAGGAGCGCAGAAGCTGTCATGGAGAAAGAGAGCAGGGTTATACAGCAGTGAATCAAGGTTCCTGCCATGATGGAGGGATTAAGTAACTTTCAGCGGAATTGAATTATCCATTAAGAGAGACAGCAAGCAGGCAGGCTGAGCCTTCAGAAGACAGCACTGTAAATCAAACGAGTCCTGGGCTTATCTCCTCACCTGACCACCAGCGCCTCCTGAGCCCCTACAAGGTCATCTGAAACGATGGTGTGGCTGGAAAGGCTGGAGGAATATGAGGTTTACTAAAGATCTGGGCCATGCTCAGGTTGAGATTCGTGCCCGCAAGGTCAAAAATCCCACCACGCCATCATTCTACATTCAAAATCAGACTCCACTGTCTTCATCCACACTAGCCCTGGAGAAAGGTTCGTCTGGCTGCCTGGCCAGAGCCTTATCTTCCTCCTTCAAGTATTGGCTATCCTTTCAATAGGCTGCACATCTATGAATTCCCTCTCTCTCTCTCTCCGACAATGATGTGCTTTACAGCTGTAATCTTCTCGAGCCTGTCCTTCAAAGCCACCAGAGGCCCTATGTCAGCCCGGCGTTCTCGTGGAGAGGCGTTTTAAAAGGATAATGATGTCCATAGTGTGGGCAGAAGGTTGTTTTTCATTGGAGCGCTGGCGCCCAGAGGGTGGAGGGTTTATGAAAATGTCTGTCGCTGATGCACGGAGCGTTCAAAGATGATTGATTTCAATGACACAGCGAGTGACCCTAAACCTTGCAGTTCTACAAGCTCCATGGCTTCTGCCTTTTTCTAATGGGCTTGGATAGAATTCTGTCATCACATCATCAACAGCATTACAAAAACAACAACCATCGCTCCCAACAGCAATCATTGCAGCAGTGCTGCTGTTTAAAGGTTTCTATTGTACTTGAACTTTTTTTAGATATTAAAGGCTTAGATGCACTCACAGACCTTTGTTCATTTATCATGAATATTAAACTGATGCTCCAACTGGAAAAAAGTGAAATTCTTTTGGCGTTAAAATCGTACTGTCAGGATTTATTAAAGACGCCCAGTGAAGAATTAGCACTGAAAAGGCATGGACGGTTATTTTTGTGTCTGACCTTATTGAATATGCATTTGTAGGAGTTTCCCTTTCAGACGCAAAATTTATGGGAGAGTATTAAAATGAATCATGCAACGCGATTTACTAATGTTTGCGCTCGTCAAATTACTAGTATTTGCACCATTATTTAATGCCCCAAAAAAGCATGTCTTAAACTGTGTCGTAAGTAGATCACCCCGCACCTGATGAGCATCGGCTGTGCTTATTTGCGACTACACTACTTTGCACTGCGCTTGGTATATTGACTGCATCCGAAAACTGAAAAATGCTGCCTTCGTAGGACGCATTCCAAGGTAAGAAAGGCATAAAGGCACATCCAAATCCAAAGTTAGCTTCACTTCCTGTCTCATGAGATACCTTCATCTGATCGATTTTTGAAGGCAGCATAGATGTATCCTTTGCTGCCTTTGATATCCCAGAATCCTGTGCGTTCCATTCCATGATTTTTGAGCTAAAAAAATAAAGATGGCATCTGAAAGTTGCGCTTGGTGGTCAGTTTGTGTGTAAATTAGTGCTGTCAAATGATTAATCGCAGCCACAATAAAGCT